TCTTTCCTCATAAGGCATGGTTTCCAGACCCTTCACTATTTTCATCACCCTTCCCTGGACATGCTCTAATTTGTCAACATCCTTTTTGAATCGTGTCTTCCCTCTTTTCTTCCTAGTGGTGGAATGATAATTCCTTCCCTCCTTTTATGCATAAAGGTGGGGAGCATTTCAGAGTACAACCATCAGTTATGAAGAGCACACTCCCCCTGCTCTTTACAATCATGCCTAATAACACAACATAAAGTTTCTCAAGTAGTAACCTGGAATACAAGAGTGGCTTTGAATCTCAATCCAGAAAATACAAGCCATGATGATTAATTACGTGTCTGTTGTATTTCACTGCTAATTAAGACTGAGCATACTAAAAGGTCAAATCCAGATAAAGCACATCCTGAGTGCCCTCTGGACTAAGAATGGGAATCATGCAGCCCTCCTGATGCTGCTGAATTGTCACTCCCAGCATTCTTCCGTAGGGTTGGCTAGGCTGGCTAGGGTTGTTGGGAATTGCAGTTCAATCACATCTGGAGGGCAATGTGTTCCCACCCCTGATCTGGCAAACAGCGGTATCAGGCAGAGGAGGAAACCATTTCATTTAGCCCAGGCTAGTCCTAGCAGCTATTTATGTATAAACATGCCAGTTGGACTTGAAGGGTGATTTGATTTGTTTATTGAAAGTATATTTTAAACACTATCATTCAGTCCTATTTCCAGAGCAGTTTACAAAAAGAATAAAATAATAATAATATAAATATAAACTAACTTAGTCGACTTGGCTCTAATCCACCTCTCTAGAGTTTAGACTCTATTCTTCAGTTTTCTCCATGAGAACCAATGACATTCCACCCTGTTTTCATAAAGATATTCTTTAGCCTGATTTGATTTCTGATTTGAATTTTTTCTTTCCTTTAGTTCTAATTTTTGTGTTTTTCAGATTTGCATAAACTTTGACTTTTCTCCACCTCTTTCCTTTGGATTTACTAATTTCTGTGTGTGCCAGGGCTGCACAGTGTCACAGGAAAGAAACCGTAACTTGTAAAGATTAAAAACTGGAAGAGATTTTACTGTCTACTTACTTGGAGAAGCTCCCTCCCCACAGAGTGATGCTCCATTTCCATTAACAATGCAACGACAAACATATTCACTCAGAAGTAAGTACTAATGAGTTCAGTGGAGCTTCCCCCTAGGCAAATGTGTGCAGGTTTGTAGCCTGACACATTCTAAAAGGTCTGATGTACAATGGTCATTTTGCCGGCTTCCCTACATGGTAATATAACATCATTCCCTTGCTGAATGTGGATCTTGCAAAACTGTTCAATTCTACTACCTGCAGACTTAAGTCCACTTGTGAAGATGTAGGTTTCCAAGAGAATTGTGGCCTATATTTATGGTTAATTATGCTGTGTGCATGTATGCATGCCCAGAGTGTATTGCATTTATTGATTTGGTTTTATTTTATTTTTTTAGGCTTTAAAAAAAAGATCAATATATAATTTTCAGGGTGTCTCTGCTTAAAACGATAAGTTTTTAAAATATTCTTTCTCATTACCATCTTGTTGTCTAGCCACACCCTTTTGACCACACTTTGGTGTTGCTTGTCCATACATGTGCCAGTTTTCACATGTGAAATGTTGGAGCATGTGATTTGTAATAACTATGCCATGTTATTTTCCTGAATATGTATCTAGAATTATTTCTTCAGCTGACTTGGCTTTTTCTGAAGTGCTGAAACTGGTGATAAGAGGTCAGACACTAATATTATTTTCTGCTCAGGGCAATATTTTTGCTAAAAAAGTAGTGTGTCCCACTGAGGCAAAAAAATACTATAGAATAGATGGAAAAATGGAGGTTTGTTTTAAGGCCAGCTCTGTGATCCTGAGTTTCACTCTGCTGAGTTGAATTGGACAGAACTATATGACTGTAAATGACCAGTCTGTTGTCCTTGTATCTCACAGGACAGGTATGATCTCTCTGAGGATGGGAAGAAGGATCAGACTGAAAGCTTCAAGGTACATTAGTACCATGGTAATATGAGAGATATAAATAACTAAAATATTTGAAACCTGTCTCTATGTTTCAGGTCTGGACATTTCAAGACTAGAGCTATGCCCCCCCCAAATGTTTTTGCTTCTTTACCAGTATGGAATGTGCTGCAGGGCAATTCCCAATGTCAAAAGATGAAATTATTTTTATGTTTTCAAAATGGTGCCTCCCAGGAAAGTGATTGGCTGCAGTAAATGGCAGACACCATGGCAGCTTTCCCAGAAATGCTACCTCCTGGCATGAAATCATAGAATGTTTGCCTGATTAAATGGTTGCCCTCTGGGAAGAGTGTGGGCTAGTGGGTGATTCATTTTTACATTATCTGCAGACATTTTACGTTTTCCAGCTAAGTCTTCCACTATTCTTGAAAATAATCTGGATATTCTACAAGAAGGTAAATTAAAACTAAAGCTAAATTGTGTCCTACAGCACTGAGTCTGCTTTTCTGTGTAAAGAATTCTCTACAGGACCACTGAAGCAAGGATATCAGAGTACTACAGTGGGAAACAATCATTACTAAATTTATTACTTTAGGATATTTACATCCAACATAACATCAAGGTTGAAAAAGATACTTAAATCAAAAATCCATGAAGATCAGAATGGATTTTTACCAGAAAGACAGATCAAGAACAGTTTGAGAACAGTACTGAATATTATTGAACATTTCAGACATCACAATGAAAGGAAATTGGCCATGTTTTGATAGATGCAGAGAAAGCTTTTGACAGAGTTAATTGGTGTTTCATGCAAGAATTAATCAATTGGATGAAAATGGAGAATAAATTTATAGAGTGGATAAAGGCCATATATAAAGATCAAAGAATCCATATAGTAGTAAATAATGAAAGAACAGAAAAGATTCCAATTGAGAGAGGAACGAGGCAGGGATGCCCACTGTTATCCTTGCTGTTTATTATAATTTTAGAAGTCCTAAACAATTAAATTAGGGAAGATGAGAAGATAAAAGGGGTTAAAGTGAAACATCACACTTTCAAAATTCAAGCATTTGCAGATGACATTATTTACTTCCTGGAAGATTCAAAAGAAAGTATAGGAAGGCTATTACATGTGATACAGGAAAATGGAAATTTGGCTGGATTCCAGATAAAGAAAAAACTTTGATATTAACAAAAAATATGAATATGAAAGAGGAAGGGGGAATAAAGGAGATAACAGGATTTAAGGTGGAGAAGAAGGTAAAATATTTGGGAATATATCTGACTAGGAGGAATATAGACTTGTTCAAAAATAATTACCAAAAAATATGAGATAAAATTAAAAGGAACTTGGAAAAATGGATGAAATGATTCTCCTTTCTGGGGAGAATAGCAATAATTAAAATGAATATACTTCCTAAGTTTATATATTTATTCCAAAACCTACCCATAATCACAAAAGAGAAATATCTTGAAGAATGGCAGAGGGAAATATCAACATTTATATGGGCAGGTAAAAAAGCCAGAATTAAATGGAAATTACTTACAGAGGAGAAAATAAAAGGAGGTTGCGGATTACCTGATTTGAAATTGTATTACTATGAATCATGTCTTTTATGGATAGAAGATTGGGTGAAGTAATGAAAGATTATTAGAATTGGAAAGAACTTGGATAAAATGCCTTTTAATGGTATGATAAGCTGAAAGATAATAAAGACTTTTCACATCACATTATAAGAAATGCTATAATTAAAGTTTGGATTAAAATTAGGAAACAGTTTTATAATCATATTCCAAGTTGGGTTTCAACACAAGAGGCTTTTTATGGAAGATCAAAAAATGAAGGAATACAATGGCTGACATATAAAAAGACTTGATAGATTGGAAAGGGGAAAATGAGAAAGAGATGAAATCAGAACAATTTAAAAAGCCAATAGAGAAAAACTAGTTTTTATATAGATAACTAAATGAATATTTCAAGACAGATAAAACAAAAATGGGGATTACAAATGAAAAAAACAAATATAGATAAAATAATATTAGACAAAGAGGGGAAACATATCTCCAAATACTACAAAATACTGAAAGAAAGAGACTTAGAAAATGAAAAAAATTAAACATGTAATGATAAGATGGGCACAAGACATTGAGGAAAATATTGAATTAGAGAATGGGAAAAATCATGGTGAGATACCAATAATTTTACATTATGTCAGGATTATAAGGAGAATTATATTAAGATGTTTTGCCATTAGTATCTATCCCCCAGAGTAATTGATAAAATTTATAAATCAGGGAACGTGAAATGTTGGAAATGCCAAAAACCAATAGGAACATTTTACCACCTATGGTGGGAATGCAAAGAAGCAAAATAAAATAAAATAATAAAATAAAATATATTTTTTTAAAAT